CTGAAAAGTTCATATGATTTATGATATCATCTGTAACATAGCAAAATACTTAGTTCCACTTTATTTAGGACATCATACATTTGACAGTGTTTCATGTCTTATTACTACAGAATATCTGGGCTGCTACTTAAAATTCAAAGATTACTGTGCATGTACATTTGTGCATGTTTTTACTTTTGCTGTTAGTTTTAAATAAAAAGATACAATAATCAACCTGACACTGCAATAGTGCAATATTCTTGAATTTACACCCCTTTTCCAGTGTGTCTTTATTAATCTCATGGCTTAAGAGAAGGCAATGCAAAATCATTTAAAAAGTGAGTTCTCCAGGTGCTGCATGCATTAACCTTTCCTTTAATACCTCTTCTGTACAATATTTTGATGATTACTGTCATATAGTAAACAGATTATGAAAATGCAGTTACCTGAGGGTCTTGTTTAATAATTTAGGCAAATTAGTTTTTAGAATTCATTTAATTGCTACATTCAATAGCTAAGTCACGACAAGCACCTGGTCCCCAAAGCAGGAGCTTCTGTACAATCTCATTTTCTGCAAGGGAAAAAAAAAAAAAAAAAAAAAAAAAAAAAAAAAAAAAAAAAAAAAAAAAAAAAAAAAAAAAAAAAAAAAAAAAAAAAAAAAAAAAAAAAAAAAAAAAAAAAAAAAAAAAAAAAAAAAAAAAAAAAAAAAAAAAAAAAAAAAAAAAAAAAGGAGAAAAAAAAAGGGAGACAAAAAGAAAGAGGAAAAAGATTAGCTAGACCCCACCTGTGTCTGTCTGTGTCTGTGCGTATCTAATGATCAGAGAGACACCTTTCAGTCGGCGGCCGGCAGTTTAGGGTTAAGGGCCGGTCCAGGTGAGGGAAGCCAATGAGCGCCCGCCCGGGGCTGTGCCTGACATCATCCCGCCGGGGAGCGCCCAGCCCGGCCGGGGCAGCGCTCGCCGCCGCCCAGCCCCGCCGTGATGGATGTTTACAGCTCCTCCGTGAAAGCCAATTATCTCCCTTTTGTGTGAGGCCCAGGGATCGCTCAGGCTGCCTGTTCGCACACGGCACTGCTGGATCAAGCCGAAGCAATTGTTTTCCCTGTGTCTGGTAAGAGTCTGGTCTGGTTCGCCTTCTCTTCAGAATAAAGGTGATGCGCCTAACCTGGGAGGGGAATTGCTTTCATAGTTCAGAGGCTTATACGCCTATAATATGTAAAAAGCAGCTTTTTACTGGCAAAAGGGAGATCCTTTAGAAAGGGAATGGTTTTAAAAGAATAACAAGTCTGTGTCTGGCAAACTCTACTTCACAATATGGAAATAAATAGCCTACATGTTTATGGTGCTCTTTAGGCGAACTAAAGAGTTATTAGGCTGACAAGACCATCTCACAGAACTGTCCTTTAATAACTGTATTTTCCTTTCTTTTCCTTTAGCATCTGTGTTTTTCCTTTGAAATCTAGCTTTTGTTGATGAACAAAGAAATGGGGAGATTTAAGAAGAGGGAATTTAATATTGTAACAACTTTAAAAAATGTTCTGGAATACTTTTGCAGATATAAATCAAAACTGGGAAAAATAAACCCAAGATGTTAAAGTTCACAGTTCTGAAATTAGTTATAGTTACTTTGTTTTGCTAATTTCTGCAATTAAAATGCTATGAAACTGAGTAAAAGATTCAAAGTGTTCAATATACAATAGGCTGGTAGCAAAACACTCAACTGAGTTTTTTGTTTGGTTTTATGTTTTTCCCACTTACATTCTGTAGCTTGTCTTTAAAAATGTCTCATTCTAGAGAGGAAGGTATGTGAGTACAGAGAGGCTGAAGAACAAGTGATTATATCTTTTACATTGTTAGCAGCTTTGAGGTTTGCAGAGAGAGAAGGGAGAGGGAAAGGATTCTGTCTGTGTAACTTCCTAATTTTGTAAAAGAATAAGTACATTTTAAAGCTTCTGAGCCAAGGTAAATTTAAGAGATTAGAAGTGACACTGACATTGACAAATCAGATGCAATAAAGAATTTAATTGACTGAAGGAGTTCAGGGGCTGCTGTACAAAGAATCCAATAACCAGTTTAACTAGTCAAGTAGTGTACCTAATAGGAAATAATAAATAGCAAGTTCCAGTTAATTTAAAAGCTTGATGACATTTACTTTATAGTGATTAGAATTCACTAGGCCACTTAAGAACTCTCTGTATTTATTTCAGTAATCCATGATTATACAATCCATGATTATACAATACAAAGTTTTGAATAATGACATATGTAGTATTACAAGTGCTTGTAAAATTGAGATATATTGTCATTCAATCTAGCTATGACTAGCTCTGTTCTAATCACTGTCAGAAAAATAATAGTTATTTTCATCTCAAACACCACTTCTCAGCTGTATTACACTTCTCTTCTCTTTGCCAGTTCAGTCCTGCCTATGCAGCTCTTGTTATTTACCATTGTTAATTCAGCTCTGGATATTAATGTGCCAAATCATCTCAACCTTCTTTTAAATGACGTATCTATAGTATGGATGGGGTTAGAAGAACATATTTTTGTTAGGGTGAAGCATTTATTATGCTTTGTTGCCTTTTTGCTAGCAAATTCCAGTTCAAAGGTGAGATGACCATGACCTATAAAGGAAAGGAGTATTTAACATTTTACTACCTTACCCTTCTTTCTTAATCATTATTGAACTTAAGTTTATTTTATGCTAACCTTGAAGCTATGCCTTTAACACTCTTTAATTAAAAACAAAAAGTGTTTTCACCTTTCTCAGTGTTACATACCTATGCACTGCATAGGTCCACCTCATCTATCTGCTTTCTTCTTAATCTCCATGTCAGATCTCACACAGTTTCTGTTCCTACACAGTTTAACCAAAATTAAAAAGTAAATAAATTACTGTTGTTTCTTCTAAAATACAGGATGATGCATATAACATGGATGTAACGCTCATTTATTACATGCTTACAATGTTCTCATCCGAAGAATTCAAAGAGTGTTTTTAATAAATGTGTCCCTTTATGTACCAATGCATGTTGCTTTATTAGATAGTAATCATGGACCTAAGCAAGCCAAGGAAACTTAATGATATGATAATCCAAACAGATAGCAATCAACTTCTTATAGGAATCAAGACCTTCTACTTTGGCTTAACCTTTCAAAAGGAAAAGAAATAATTTCTGGTAGACCACTTTACAGGGAAAATATGGGTGGGTTTTTTTCTTATTTTCAATCAGAAATGAAGTTTAACAGAAAACAATAAAGAAAAACGTATCTTTTTGGATAAAATAGTGTTAATAGTGTTGTGATCTATGTTTTATTCTTTAAGATAATAAGGATAACTATGACAATGCTAGCACAAGGACTGCATAGCAGATTCACCATTGGTCTGGAAAAGAGTCTCTCTTGTCCTGTACTTGATCATACTCTGTAAAGTCCGTATTCCATCAATGACCCACTGTATTAAAGATAGAATTAGCGTGAGGTTGCTTGATTGTATGCATAAGTCATTTTGTTTGTCTGATTTTCTATGAATGAGTCAACTCGTACATTTTCACAATAACATCAGGTAATAACACTTACAATGAAGATTTGAGTCATTCCCCCTACACAAGGTATTCACTTCTCTTGTCAGATAATTTTGAGCAAAGTGACAAATGGAATTTTTCTTTTTTTTTACAAAAATTCAATGCATTTAGTATTTCTTAAAGAAAAAAGAAGTGACAGCTAGGCAGAAATATGATAATAACATCAATTGCTGAAAAAGTATCCATATCACCAGTAGTAAAAACATTAAAAATAATTCTTCTTCTTCTATAATTGGCAAAGGAATATTATCCTTAGAAAATACAAATTAAAGTAGTATTGTAATAGCACATTTTCTTTTGTATCCAGTTTCAATAAGTACAGGAGACAGAGGAATTCTTTCATTTTGGAAACTTTGGCCCGTGTTTTTGTTTTATCTAAGATAGATTACTTTGGGAGTTCTCAGATCTTCCAAATTACAGGCTGTTCCAAAAACAGCCTTAAAACCTTGCGGTACAACTATCTACCTTGTTCATTACTGAGGTCCTTTATATGTTAGGGTGCCAGATGAGACTCAAGAGTCTATTTTGTTCCCTTAGCTTTTCTCTCCTTATATTCCATTACCCAAGCTGGAAAAAAAAAAAAAAAATCCTTTTCACCAAGTAGTGATAAGGCGATCTTTTCTGCATTTTTTTTTGTTTTTAATTTCTCTCTTACTAAAGCCAGAGGCAACAGAGCTTACAGAGAGTATTTCTGTTGTGGGAAAAGTGAGATGCAGATGTCCATTTGTCCCTCAAACTCATGGTTTTCCTTTGGAAAGAAATCCAGATGTACAGATGTGGAGAACACACCTTGGATGTTCTCCAATAGGACACCTGTCTGAATGATGAAAGGAACAGTAATGCGTTTATCAGACAGTACAGACAATGACAACTTTTTTTGTTTTCTGTTTCATTTTGAATCTTAAATTAAGTCTGGTGAATGTCCTGGGATCCTATAAAAATTGTATTAAAAGACAATCATGGTCAAGGATTACAATGCAGATTTTAAGGTAGTTTTGCAACTTCATTCTAGATCTTTTCCCTATGTATAGCATGATGCTTTTTTGTTTATATAATTGTGTATTTCTACACAGGAGTGTGACACTTGGAATGGGTAGAGTCAATCCTACATGGTTTAGTGAGGGTGATATCAGTTTTGGCTAACTTTAGCCAGGAGAGTTTCTCTTATAATCTGTGGAGAGAAAGACATATCTCTGAAAAAAAATTCATCTCATCATTAAGATACTTATTTTGGATAGATGAGCTGAATTGCTCTCTGGAGGGGGAAAATTCACTCCGTATAGACAACCTACTTGAATACTTTCAATTATGTGTTGAACTTCCTGGCTTTTAAATATTGTTTAATTAAGATCTTTTATATTTCTGAGTATCAGCGAATCCCACAAGTAATATAAATAATAAATGAACAAACAAATAATTATGCTCATTATTTGCTGTATGTTGGAGTCAGTTATAGATTTTTGCAATAAATGGACTCTGGACTTCATCTCTGCAGTGGCAGGGGTGTTGACAAGAGCACTTGGTGCAAGACTTTGAGGTTACATAGGTATTTGCTGGCAGTTTGGTCCACTGGTATTTGCAGGAAATGTAAAGGTTTGGGAAATGCTGATCCATGCCTGGCAACAGGGGGAATCATGCTCCATCTTTTACATTCATTCAAACATTGTCTCTCATGCTTAAGTGTACTTTCAACAGAGACAAATCAGAAAATAATGTAAAAAAGTTTCTCACTCCTATCTCTGGCTTATAAATTTAACAATTAAACAACATATTATGGTCAAAAGTTCAAAGAGTAAGAAGACTTTCTGTTTCCTGAATGAAGCATAATCTAAATAATCTATTACAATCTATCATCATGGAATAATATTACATTATCACTTGCAAATGAGAAGTATGGCTTTCATAGTTGCCAAGCTGTACTTATCCACAACTGATGGCCCCCATTAATTTTTAACAATTGTCCTGTCACCAGACCGGTGAGCTGTAGAAAATCCTGTGGAGATGTCACATTCCTTGATGATTGCAGTTAATGCTGCTGCCCCTCTGAATCAGCATGAAATGCAGACACTTTTATGACTGAATCTGCGATTTGGGATTTGATCATGCTATTTATAGTATTGCTAATGGTCTGTAGCACTGACAAGGGGTGTGTTGAAGTCATTCTCTAAGTTACCCTTGTTTTCAATTGTAAAGGCAGAACAGACATCTGGATCCTACATTCCAGTAACTGGACAGAAAATAACAGCTCAAGGAGGTTGTGACTTTCACTGCTGAAAAGTTTTTAAAGGCTTGGTTTTTTCTCTTTCTTTTCTTTTTTTTTTTTTTTTTTTTTTTTTTTTTTTTTTTTTTTTTTTTTTTTTTTTTAATATCTGTGGATTTTTTTTAAACGTTATTCTTTCTAAGAAAAAGGATCAAATTATTTTGATCTAACTTCTAGAAAGCCAGTTGCATTCATTTGGTGAAATGAAAGTAAGCTTAGTGACATCTTAAGAAAGTAAAGTTGAACTAAAAAATTAGTTGTACATGGTTTTTAAACTTACCATGTTTACTATATCAGCAAAATGAAATTTTCAATTTTTATGAAAATTCTTCAGAAACACTTTCTCACTTCTTAAAAAGAATGTTTTACTTCCAAGTCCTCATTTTGTTTCCAAACACAATTCCTAAAATGTGTAGTATCTGGTCTGCTTTAATTTTGAAGCTAAAATAAATGTCACATACTATGAAAACCAATATCTGGGAAGAATTCTTTTAAAGTTAATAACATTAGAATACTTAGGAGATTGCCTGATTTTTATCCCTCTTTGAAAGTGTATCTGAATCTTATCATGCCCAGTAGCTCCAAAATTATCAAGAACCGTATTTAATGCTGAAGTTCTCATTATTGCTGCTGTAGCCAGTGTGTAAAGAATAGTAGGAATTATAGCATCTTTCTTCATTATTTCATATTAAAATTCTTGTAGAACCATGGGGAGGGAAAAAACAACAGCAACAGCTAAGTATATTAATGATCCCTGGAAACAGTACTTGATTTCCTATGGGTTTGTGTCCCTTAATTAATTAACTACTTTAGTGATATATATAAGATTTCTTTTTATCTCTCCATATGCTTGTAAAAATTAAGCCATCCTTCTCCCTGCAGAACTAGCAAGTACTGGCTTGTGCCAACTCATTAGATTGAAGCACTATCACTAGCATACCGGGAGAGCTGTGTTTTCTCACTTCCTCTCAGCTTCCTCCAACACAGAGCACAGGAAGTAAGACATGAGTATACTCTGAACTTCTCTAATTGGCACTAGAGAATTGTCCTCCAGATTTTGTGTCCACTACTACATTCAAAAGTTGTTCTGTGGGGAAGAAGATTAGGTTTGTTTTTTCAAGAAAACAGAGGGGGTTGTGTTTAAATGTATGGAAACAAGAACTGTATCCCTAAAGCTCTGAGAACTTTCATCTACTGAGAAAATCCCTGGAAAATGGATGTGTCTTCTTCCATAGGGGTGCTGGAAAGCAGCTGAAAATTTGCAGGTTTTAGAACAGCAGTATAGAATGAACCACAGAAATATTACATTTCATGGACACTGTGTTATGCAGACACAATCTGTAAAATATATCCAGAAACATACTAAGCATTTCATCTGTACTCTAATATTTTTTTTTGAGTTTTTACAATTAGTCTTTCTTATGCACTAATTTAGCTTGCATGACTGTGATTTAGTTAGACATTGAAGTAAGCTCCCTATCAAATCCTTTTTATAGGTTCTTGGAAGTACTAGTAATTCATTGAAATCTTTCCAGAACAAGTAAAACTTCTGAAGGCTGTAGTTATCTAAAAAGCTTATTTTTTTTTTGTTTGGTGTAGCCAAAAATTTCTAGAAGGTAAATGTTTCATTCCCAGTTGGGTAGTTGTTTCTCCCTGGTATCTAACAGAGACCTTTAGGTTGCTTCCTAATTAGAAGTACAGAAGAGAATAAGCAGACCAAATCCTCATAGGGCTTGTTAACTTCCTTCCTCTGACAGACAGCGAGGAGGTATCTCTTTCTTGCACACCTGCAGTGAATTCCCTCCTGGGCCCTACAGTGTTCCACACTGGCACAGTTGACAAACGTTGAAGGCAGATGGGGAGGGGGAACCCCAGGCAAGAGGTCTTTCCTTTTACCCCTTGCTCTGGGGAAGAGCGTGCCCTCCCCCCCTCTCCCACCATGAGGTCTCCATGGCCCCCAGAGCAGCAGCTGGCAGGGAGAGCAGGCAGAGAGAGAGCTTTATTGTTCTGGTAACTGTTTAAATAGCTCTTGGGGGGATTACAGTGTAACCAGTGGGAGTCCAGGAGGTCTTACAAACCAACCAATTACAAGAAAGGGTTAACAACCAAAAGAGAGACTTTCAGGTATCTCTCAGGTCATTCCAAAGTAGAGATAAAGACTGAGAATCCTGGGAAGAAGAGAGGTGAGTTTACACAAGTTACAATAGACATTTTGGAAGCCTGTTAACATTACAATTTCTACATCCTTTTATATATAGCAGAGTTACCCCAACACGCAGTAGGCTCTGAACTCCAGGAGAGCTACACTAAAAGAAATAGTTACACTGACTTTGCTAAGAGTTTCAGAAATTCAGGAGTCATATGGACTGTGACAGACAATTATAATATCATTTATATGAACAACCATACTTAATCATACAGGTAATAGGAGATAATTGACTAGGAGGCATGACCACCTGCTTCATGCCTCCAGATACATTTGGAGACTAGAAACCCATGCATTTGTACTGGAGTCACTCTTCCTTTCAAGATAGCCTTACTTATTTTCAGTTATTTGTTTGCGTTAGAAAGCTTACTTTTGATGTGGTTGGTTGTTTCTTTTTTTCCTTTTTTATTAAACATCCCATTAATTAATTGTTTGGGTTTTTTTTTCCTTTGGTCACATATAGTATGCTCTATAGTACATCTCAGGGACCGTATTGGATTTGAAGCAAAAACTTTTAAACAACTCTGTTCCTGTATTTAAACAAGATGACAGGAATCTTGAAATTGAAACACACACCAAATGCTTGAGTTCTAGGCTGTTTTCAGTCTGAAGGAATTGAAACCTCTATTGTATTTATGGGGTCATATCACAGACACTGGCACAGGGCTCTTCTCACACAGCCATTTGAATCTTGGACACCATGCAACTATAGTAATACATGAATAGATGTGTGCGGGTTATTCAGGAAATCAAGTAGCATTATAGTTGTAGTACTCTGATGAATGACAAATGCTGGATTATTTTTGGATTTTATCCAGGGAGTGTTTAGTACAAAACATGCAGACAATACGGAGTTGGCTCCAGAACCAGGGCAGTACATTCTAAAGAACATACTGCATAGAAGATGCATTCCCTGGTGCCCACCATAGGCTTTGTGAGTACATCATGGCCATGATCTCTTTTCACTTTGGGATGAGAACCCCCGACCTCTGCATCCCTCGTTCCCCACTGAAGGAAAGATCATGTTCCCCACTGTGTGCTCCAACAGCTATTCAGATCTGGATGACTGGGAACCGATGCAAAGCACAGACTGCCCCACAGCTAGACATGGTACTGTTTGTAGACAGCCTGATGTGGGTCTGTGCTCAGCATATGAACTTCCTTAATGATCACTCAAAGACACTTTCAGATAAGGCATCTAACATAGGCAATCATCGTTGCTTACTAATCACCTGTATTTTTGGTAGTCTAATACTGAAACTTAATAAAATAAACAGCCTGATTTTGACCTTATGCACTATGACAAATGTTACTCAGCAAACATATTAATTTTTCTCATTCTTTCAGTATTTTGATGTCACTTTTAAAGTCTTTGCTTAAATCATAAAAAGATACTTTTAGTAGTTTATTTGGTGTTAAGTTCTCCCACACTGTTCTGTCTTCCTTACCCGTATGTCTACTTTACTACTCTTTAGATCTTAAAATCAATGAATAAAGTTATTCTATGAAGGACAGAATAAATTAAGAGAGTTTGAAGATATTTGTTGTGATGTCTTTTCCTTAATTAAGATTTGTGATTACACTATTTATCTGCAGACTGGGATAGGGACAAGCCTTTGGCACACATGAAAGACCATTAGTTCTCATACATTTCCATAAACAATTATTGTCAGAAAAGAACCTTTAAGTTCTAGCTAAATGTAAAGATGTCCTAAAACATATTATCTCTTTGTAAAGAAATTGGCTGGTGATACAGTAATGGGAATGCTTTCTAAAGTGTTTACATTTCTGTGTAGTCAGATTTTTGAGTGCAAACAAATTGGTGATGGATTATGAGATGAGAAAAAGAATCTCTCTTTTTGCTTCACCTGGCTTCACCTTTTTTGAAGGTATAGACTATGAAAAGCAGCATCCTTCTTCTGCAATATGAAACCACTTTTGTTCTCTGACTAATGCTTCTCTGGCCAAAGCCAGTGTATGCATTTCCTTAATATCTGTATCATTGTATTTCTATGGCCAAAATTTATCAGTCTAGAATTTCAGATTCTTGAGAATTATAGAGCTCAAATTGACTTTTTTAACTCCCCTTTGATTCCCTGTACCTATTTTGTATTGACTAAAAGTCTTTTTCCAATAGTCTTTTTCTTTGATAGCCAATCGTATTCTGCATTTAAAAAAGTTGGTCAGGAGGTAGAGGGAGGTGATTTTCCCCCTTTATTGTGCTCTTATGAGACTGCAACCTGGAGTACTACATCCAGCTCTGGTGTCCCCAGAAGAAGGAAAGACATGGTCCTGCTAGAGTGGGTCCAGAGAAGGGCCATGAAGACAATCAAAGGGCTGGAGTACCTCTTCTATGAAGAGAGGCTGGGAGAGTTGGGGTTGTTCAGCCTGAAGAAATCTCCAGGGAGAGCTCTTTCAACTTTCCAGTATATAAAGGGGCTTATGAGCGTGATAGCATGAATTTTTACCAAGGTCTGTGGTGATAGGACATAAGCTAACATTTGTAAATGGAAAGAGATTAGATTTAGATGGAACACGAGGAAATTCTTTACATTAAAGGTGGTGAGACACTGGAAGAGATCGCCCAGAGAAATTTAAGTTCTCCACAGTCCTGAAAGTGTTTGGAGCTGTGTTGGATGGAGCTTTGATCAACCTGATCTATTGAATGATGTCTCTTCCTATGACAGTGTACTTGATCTAAATGATCTTTAAATGAGGGCTCTTTCAACCCAACCATTCTACGATTCTGTAATTATTCTGAGTGTTTTTGTCTCCCTCAATGAAAGCCCATTGGACTGAGGGAATATACTCTGAAATTAATAGTTTTAAAATTACATCTTTTAATGAGCCACCACCAACACATATGCAGGTGTTTCTTGGGTTTTTGTTGGTTGGTTGGTTGGTTGGTTTTTTTAATAATTCTCTGTTTCACTCATTCCACATTAACAAATTATTACAAGTATTTCTTCAAGATATTAAATTGATTACAAAACGATGATTACAATGTTTACCTATCAGCATGGCAGGAAGGACTATGAGGAGATCCTCAGCAACTCATAAGGCAATTTCTGCAGTACTGTGTTCCCCAGTACAGGAGCGACATATTGGATGGAGTCAAATGAAGGGTCACTAGGGTGATTAAGGGAATGGAGCACCTCATCAGTGATGAAAAGGCTGAAGAGTTGGGACTGTTCAGCCTGGAGAAGGCCAGGGGGCATCTTCAAAAGATCTTTATACCTTCCCAGAAGGTATAGAAAAAAATATATAATATATATAAAATATATATTAGAAAAATAATAAAAATTACTGACCATGAAAAATTGAGGTGGGACCAGATGCCCAATGGTTTTGGGTCCAGTCTTGTGCATTCTGTGATTGTGTAACACTTAAGACTGATAGAATTCCAGGGTAGCTTCTCAAAGCTACACAGCTTCAAGCTTATGGTTTGCCTCCTTCAGCTGTACAAAGCCCACTGATTTTGTGGACAGAGAGATTAGGATCTAATAATTGGTTGGTGGATCAGCGATAACATGTGAGAGGTGATTCTCTTTCCTTGTTCATTTAGAACAGGGGTATGATGCACACACTCAGTGCTTCTTTCATGGCCTGGGTTTCCCTGTGTCTAGATTTCATCAGGAGATGCATCCATATGCAGCCTGAAAGTGCTACTTATTACTTATATGGACTAATTCAATCAATAATATTTTAGATTTGCTTATACACAGCTGAACATTCTTCTCATCATCAGCAATCACTCAGAGCCAAGAAACCTGAAAAACATTTTTTTCATTCAGTACTTGTGCTTTGAGCAGCACTGTATAAGCCAAACCTTTGTCTTGCACAATGACCGACTGCAAATCACTCACATCAACTCTTCTTAAATTTATGTTTCACCTGCCTTTTTCTTATTTTCTTCACGTTTTCTAAAACCTCACTTCTTTTGTAATAAAATGAATCCATTAAAATGCAGAAAACACTAAGAAGAATCCATTAAAATGTGGAACACACTAAAAAAGAAAACAACAATATTAAGTATAGTTTACTTTCTTAAAACCAACTCAATTTAAACATTAATGAGACTCTAACAGTAAATAGAATATTGAATGCTTTGTAATATAGAGATATGATGAATATGAGGCTTTGGAAAAACTTGCTTGCAAGAACTTGTAAAAGAAAAATAAAATTGATGCTGTTATTATTAATTGTTTTTTCATTCTGATTTGATTTGGTGATTAGTGAGGTAATTCAGGCAGGAATTACCTCAGGATTTTTGTTTATGTTGCTTTCCAGTTTACTACCAGATTGCAGAGATGACAGCTCTTCAGTGACCCAATAAGGACCAACTTTAGTAATATGGATATGGATTTCTGTAGCACTGGACTGTCTACTTTTGCAGCTGCAAGATTTGAAAGGATTTATAAGATATTAAATGAAATCTAAATTTCCAATTTCATCACAAGTGTCATTACAATATAGCTTCAGGTTTACAGAAATAATTTGGTCATCTGAAAATACTGCCTATATAATGCCAATTTTTGTGCTAATGTGAATTTCCAACTGTGCAAAGCAGAAGTGTAGGTAAATTCAATTTAACATGCCCAGAGGCACAGACTTACATACTCCTTTCAGAAACTAATGAGTTATTCATTCATGAATCTCATTTTCTTCAGTCGTATCTACATACTTTACACTTCAACCTTACATCAACTTCCAAAATTCAGTATTCAACTATGAACAGTGAAAAACGTTTGATTGATATCTAAGATATCCAAATAAGCTATTTGTAGTTCATTTTCTCCCTCAAAGAGGAGCTGTTTTCCAAAGAGAACAAGTATTACTTGTCTTCTTTTCTATGACAAATGCTCACTCTCTTCCACACCTCCTAATAATTTTTGAACTTTTAACCAGATTTAACAGATAAAATGTTCTTATCTAGACAGAGAAAGTGTTCTTATGTAAACACTTCAAGATCTGTGAAAATTAATAGCAGAATGCAAAGATTCTGAAAGAAAGGCAGAAAAACCTCATTGTATATTGACTGGCAGAAGCCAGATGCACAATTACCACATGCAGACTGGTTGGTGAGGTGGTATGCCTAAAGTTTCCATCTACCTCATGACTAGCAGTGGTGTCACAAATATCTGCTCATGTGGAGATGACTTAGCAAAGAAAAGATACACATCTATAGGAAAGATTTTCATCTGTTCAGTGCCAAGAACAAATTTTCCTGCTAAGAATTCTTGCCAGTCTGTGATTATTCTAAGCATATTTCTCACTTGTATTTGTTGACCAATGTTTTAATACTCCTCTTTCCTTCCTCCTCTTTATTCCCTCATTCCTAACATTGCCCTTTACTGTTTTATTTGCTACTTAGTCATATTTGTTCCTATTCCTTCTCTCCTGGTGTTGATGTTTTCACATTTTTCTATTGTTTGTCAGCTTGCAGCATGTGGACTGCAGGTTCACAGATGTCAGAAAATGGTATATGAGATGCTGAATTGTTTATTTAATCAAACACATTTACACACAGATTCAAGTAAAGAAGCAAACCAGAGAAGATCTCACAATGTAGCTCCCAGTGTGCATTGTATTCAAATTTTATTTTTTTTTTTTTTTTATCCTTGAAGAATTCTCTTTGAGGATCCCATTTGACCTGGAGTTACAGGCTCTATTTTTTTTTAATCTCATGTGCTAGCACAGTTTTTCAGTGCACTAAATAAACAGTCTACTCTCATACTGTTGCAATCTAGAGTGTTCTGGATGAGTTTCTAACATTCCCTCTGTTCCATCTACCAAAAAATATGTAATACAGGACAGAATCAATCTTCTAATATTTTAAACTTCTAGGGCTCAGGTTTTAATATTTGCATTGAAATTTTTTAATAATATCTCCTCCATCTTATTTTTTAATTTATTTTTATTTTAGTATTTCAGTTGCATTATGGTCTTTACAGGCTAAGAGAAATCAGATGTGTCTATGTAGTACGATCTAGACTATGCTACAAGCTAAGCAAAAACCGTGTGGCTTTCTTGGTTCTGGGTAGTAATTTCTGTTACAATCAGTTACAATACTCAAGACATAACCATCCCAACACTGTCATATAATTTTTAATTGATTAAATAAAGTGGAAATTTTTCTTTCTTAAACTTTAACCACTGTATCGTGGCTAGCAGTACACAGCTACCTTGATTTGATAACAGAATTATAAATGCATCTTTAAATCACTTGAGATTAAAAAACCCGTTTCAGGAAAGCTCAAACCTCTCAAAATTCATTGCTACCACATGTCACAATTGGACTGAACCCTAAGACATTTGTAATATACTGTGAATAGTGAAGGGAAATCTGATCTCCTGCACTCCAGAGTCTCTTAAAATTAATGAAGCTGAGAATTTTGTGAATAAGAGTGTAATTTTTCCAAGTGTCTCAGTGAAAACAAACCTTTTTCTTTCAAACGTTTAAGAACTGAGATATGACTTATATGTGTACAAACACATTCCCATTTTTTAAACATAATATAGAACTGAGTTCTTTTCTGACTCCAGAATATTAGATTCATTATGTCAGCCAAATGAAAGCAGAATGCATATTCAATCAATGTTGAAATATAAATGAGAAGCTATAAACTCTCTTAATTTGAATGGGAAGATTTCATCCTCTTCTCAGCACAAGACAAAAATAAAACAGAACTTGAAAGTTGAAGTCAAATTCTGCTTCCATTGGAAATGACCTTCAGCACAGGATATTTTTTTTTTCTGGTATAAGGCACTTTTTTGTATACCAGAGAAATTCAAGAACATCTTTCTCTGACCTTTTTAACAGATTAAATGCAGTGAAATAAATTGTGGTATACGGGGTATTGACTGTAAGTTTAAGTTCTTGAATCAATGATTTTTCCATTTAGTAGTATGGAAGTATGCTTTCTGACTGAAGTTGCAACTAGTGTATTTTTGTTATATTTCTCATTAAGTGCTGCAAGTGTTTTTGAGATTAATAATTAAATTTTTATGGGCTGGAGGATATCCTAATACGAATATGATAAATTGTGTAGATGATAAGGACATTCTTTTAAGGAACTTTTAATTTAGAGTGTCATTTTGCAAGAAAATTAATTTTAGGTATATCAGAGGTTTTCATTGAATGAGAAACATAGAAATAATTGCCTATACTGCTCATGTAGCTAGTATCTCATTAGCTAACCTATTTCCATTGACTTAAGCTAAATTTAGGAGTTGGGCTGTTTAGTTTGGCATTATCTATGAAGTTAGTTAATCTAGAATTGAGTTTGAGTGTTGCAATCCTTGGTGTTCTTCTTTTCCTTTGCTGACTGCGGATCACTTCAGTATCTGTTTTGGTTTCCACGTATTCTTACTTTCAGATACAGCATACAAGAAAAAAAGAACGCCTCAGAAGTGCTTAATGAGGTTGCATGCTCTTTCCCCATCTACACATACATATAGAAGAACAATTTCCTTCTGTCTAAATAAAAATAATCTTAAAATAGACTTGTTGTTCTGTTAAAAGGTAAAAAAAAAAAAATTAGCTGTTTTGGAAACATGGACATATTTGTCTAATATCTGACAAACAGCAGAGAGCAAATTTCTGGTATGGACACTTGATCCTGTGCAGAACTGACATTTCAGATGGTAATGGCTTCTGTAAGATCACTTTTTTTTTTTTCTTCTGAAACATAAATATATAACCTGAGCATAAAAATAGCACCATAATTATTACTGAAAAGAACTACATAAAATAAAAAATATTCTTAATGGTTCAAAAACAAGAAGTTGTGTCCTTAATGAATTTATTAACTCTAAATGCAAATCAAAAAGTCTTACTTTGTTTCTCTTAGAAAAAGACCATTGAAGGTATAAACGTGTCTGTGACATATAAAACCTTGTCATAAAAGCATATCTGATGTTATTGGAAGAAGTGACAGCTTGGATCAGAATACGATTGGCTTTTGTCTTAAAAAATGTCTGTTGGTGTCTTTCTAAATCTTAGAACAGAAGAAAACAGTTAATTCAATGAGTTAGCAGAGATCTCAATTTTCCAACCTCACCATTCTCTGTAGGAACTGCATTAGTTAAGACTTTGGTGGGGGTGAGAAAGGAAGAAGAAATCTTCATTCTGTCTTTTGAGATGGAAAAATGGCAGTTATTTATACTGGGAATTTTGGAAAATGATTTTCTGAGTGGCACATTTACAGAACAGTCTTTGTACTAAAATGTTAGGGTAATGTACTGTTTTCTTTGAATTGAAGCAATTATGTCTTCCATGTGTCCCAACACCAACTTCCAGTAGTTACAGCCTCACTCAAGACAGTTTGAGTTTCCATTCTAGTCTTTATTAGTCTAATAATCAATTATATAATTTGGTAGCTGAGTGAACTTGATGTGTGTCCTACCTAGGATTCAGTTTCTTTATGTATAAAGTGGAGATAATATTCTTGATTTATGTGAATGTTTCAAGGACTAAATAAATATCTGATTAATGTCCTGAGAGATATAAGAAGAAAGTTCTGTGTAGTAATAATGGTATTACTCTTTGGCCATATTAGAGCATAAAATAGGGAAGTAAGAATGAAAGTCTGCCTCCAAAATTCTAGCTAAATTACTTCTGATTACTTGCTTTCCTGACTGTCCAGAATGGTGGCAATTTTCTGCAGGACACACTAAGTCCAGATTTTCAAACTTTGACTTCAGTTAGGAGTCATTTATGAATTTAAGCTTTACTTTCACCTAATACTTTGTAGCAAATGTATTATGAGGTGGTTTTCTTTGTCCTTATAAAAATATAATGAAAAAACCCCAACAAAAATAAGTGGTGGAAATGAGATTCGGATGACCACTTTAGTGCAAAAACTTAAAAAAACCATATTTTAAATGAGTACTTCCAAAATGGTTTTAACTCCAGAGAGAGATTATATTTATTTTGAATTGGGCACAGAGTGGCTGCAGAGTAGCCAGGCAGAAAGGGACCTGGGGGTGCTGATCGACAGGAGGCTGAACATGAGCCAGCAGTGTGCCCAGGTGGCCAAGAAGGCCAANATTGAGGTGCTGGAGCGGGTCCAGAGAAGAGCAACAAGGCTGGTGAAGGGACTTGAGCACAAGTCCTATGAGGAGAGGCTGAGGGAGCTGGGGTTGTTTAGTCTGGAGAAGAGAAGGCTTAGAGGTGACCTCATCACTCTCTTCAACTACCTGAAGGGAGGTTATAGCCAGGTGGGGGTTGGTCTCTTCTCCCAGGCAACCAACAATAGGACAAGGGGACATGGGCTGAAGCTCTGCCAGGGGAGGTTTAGGTTAGATATTAGGAAGAAATTCTTTACAGAGAGGGTAATCAGGCATTGGAACAGCCTACCCAGAGAGGTGGTGGATTCACCATCCCTGGAGGTTTTTAAGCAGAGATTGAATGTGGCCCTTAGTGCCATGATGTAGTAATTGGAGTTGGATCAGGGATTGGACTCGATGATCCTGGAGGTCTTTTCCAACCCAATCTATTCTATGATTCTAACTGATCTGGCTTGTTGCTTGAAAATGTGTAAGGGGACTGCACCAATATATGTGTTACAGAGTACTCAGTGATGAAAGAGTTCTGGTGAAAGCCTTGTGCAACTAATGTGGAGGGGATACAGTAGGACATTCTCTTTAGTCTAAACAGATCAGCCAGACACATCAGAGGGAGCATTAATTCTTCATGAAAAAGTAGAAACCCATGCTTTTAGTCCTCGTTTTCATAAACATTTCTTTGCCTTTTGTGACTTTGAAGGTAATCTGTGACCTCTGAGTTCTTACCCAAGTCCTCCAGAGATCACAGAGTGAAGAATGACTTCTTGTGTTTTCATAGTATTAAGACAGCAGAGCTCCACTTAAGTGGTGATCTGTCTTGCCTAGCAGACCATGTTGCTATTTTATTATAACCAGAAAACCTCACTCGTTCAGACTAATGACTGAGAAACACATTGCAAGTTACTGAAATATGCAAGCTGGTCAAGCAATCGAGGCTAACCCTCTCTTGTCGCTTTCTCCCTCACTCCCATGCCCCCTTTCCAAATGCACTTGATTAATTGATCTGTAACAAATGGTTTTAAGCTTTTTTTCCAAACTTCAGAAAATGGAATGGAATTGCAGCAGACTGACAATGATTTAAAAAAAACAATCACAAGGAAAGAAATATTGTAAACAGGATGAGTACATGTGCATAAGACTGTGTGAGAATATTTGTTATGAACAATGCAGCAGGCTCGCACACATCATTAAAAATTACAGCATAGGCTTGTAGCTGTTGAATTTGCACTGCTGTAGTTATAATTTATTTCTCGTGTTGTGATAGTGCCCAGGAGTCCAGTGATAGACTCCAAATGAGCTTCATTCTCTGTTACACAGAACAAAGAAAGACTCTCTGTCCTCATTTATCTTATTATGAATTGACTAACAGCTTTCTACATTCTTATGAAAGTTTTAATGTAAAAGTAATTTTAATTATTTCTGATTATTAAAGTATGATGGTAAGTTAGGGATGAAACACTTTGTTAGAATTAATGGCAATAAACTGTCACTGTCTTGCAAAATCTCATGGGAACTGGAAACCAGATGTTTTTCAGTACTAATTAGAAATGAATCTTTTTTTCCAATTTCAATAGCTCATTTAGAACAGAATTGAAAAGAGAGATTTGACAGTGCTCTCATTATTGCATGAGGGTTCATCCTATACTCCAGCACTTGAAAAAAACCCAAAACAATAAAACCAGGTAGACCTGCAGAGCATGTAGCAAACTAACTCCAACATTTTTATTTAACATACTTTTTTTTCCACAGAGCTAGAAGAGGTGGACTCCTTCCCAGCTCCAAGAAAATAATGTCTCCAACTACCTTGAGTTCTTTCCATAATTTTTTTTGCATGTGAACAGAATGTTACTCATAAACTTCCTTCAAAACAGTCTCTTGTGAGAAGCTGTAGTGTTCTGTTTTTTTCCTCACCCTTTTCCATGACATGCAAGGGAAAAGGTTTGCTGGGTCAAGAATATCATCCTCACTATAGACTCAAGTGCTTCACTCTTCTGTGGCTGCTGTTTCCTTCGGTACTGGGTTAACTTACAAAAAGCAGGAGCTGTTATCAGCATTATTGTCTGCCAATCAAATTAAGAAACATGGAGCTCTGTCCTTCACTCCTGTAAGAAAATGATCTTTTTGAAACTGATGAGAGTTGAGTGCTAAAATATCTGATCTTGTTGAATGAATCTTCTCTAAATATTGTTACATATTTTTCTACCAATAGTTTTATCTTCATATAAAAGAATTTATAGCAGCATCCCTAAAAACCCTGGAGTGATTTTCACCTATTAAAAATAAAAATAATTATTTATGTAGATAAAGATGCATAAGATCTTGCTCTGGCTAAAGGAAATCTTGCCAACACTGGCAGTGTTATTTTTTTATATTGTCAAATATTTGTTGCTACTTAATGTCCATTATCCATTAAGCCCTGACTCCTGTAGATACATGTGTACATATCCACATATAAATATATGGATATCGATACATATACTTTATTTTTCTCTTACACCTGAAAACTACCTAGGTTTAATAATATCACAAGAAAGAAGAGCATTTTCATGGCTGTGCTCACTTTTTCATGAACAAATTAGTAGAAAATGAAGTCATAAAAGTTTCAGTTTTTACTAGGCTCAGATAATGGTATAGATTGATTGCTGAAGGGAAGATCACTTAACGCTTACCAGCCAAGTTTTGAATATCTGAACGGATGGGGACTCAAGAATCTCTATGGGCAACCTCTCCGAGTGTTTGATCACCCTCATGATATTTTTTTCCTGGTATCTGGTTGGCATTACTCATTTTCACAGAATCACAGAATGGTTTGAATTGGAAAGGATCTTAAATATCACATAGTTTCAATCTACCTGACATGGGCTGGTATACCTTCCACTACAATAAGTTACTCAAAACCCCATCCAACTTTCCCTTGAACATTTCCAAGCACGGGGCATCCACAGCTTCTCAAGGCAACCTGTTCCATCACCCTCACAGTAAAGAATTTCTTCCTCATGTCTAACCTAAACCTACTCTTCCCGTTTGAAAAGAGTCCTGTCACTACATGCCCTTATAAATAGTCTCTCTGCATCTTTCTTGTAGGCTTCCTTCAGGTACTGAAAGGCCTCAATTGGTCACCCAGAAGCCTTCTCTTTTCCAGGCTGAACAATCTCAATTTTCCATCCCTCTAATCAATTCGCTGCTCATTCAAACAGTTCAGTGCCTTTCCTGTGCTGGGGATACCAGAGCTGGATGCAGCACTCCAGGTGGAGTCTCACCAAACCAGGATAGAGGGACAGAATCCCCTCCCTCAACCTGCTGACCATGCTGTTTTTGATGCAGACCTGGATATGGTTGGGTTCCTGGACTGCAAATTCACATTACCAGCTCATGTCCAGTCTCTCATCCACCAGCACACCCTAGTCTGTTAGGCTGCTCTAGATCTGTTCACCCCCCCTGAGCCTGTACAGGTACCAGGGGCTGTCATGACCCAGTGCAGCATCTTGCACTTGGTCTTGTTAAACTGCATGACATTCCCATGGGCCCACTTCTTATCCTCTGTATGTGACCATCCAGACAATTCCTTATCCACTGAACAGTCCATCCACTGAATCCATGTAATCAACAATTTAGAGAAAAGGATGTTATGTCAAAGGCTTTACGGAAGTTCAGATAAGTGATATCTGTAGCCCTTCCCTTGTCCACGATATAGCCACTGCATGATAGAATGATGTTTCCAGCTTCCTTTCCATTGTGTACTTCTCAGAAACGTCTGACTTTTTCATCTGATCAGGTAGTATAAAGCCTTCCCTGAAATTTCTCTTCTTTAGGCTGACCAGTTGCTTCTCTCAGGTGTTCCAGCCAGCTCACCATCTCAGTTACCTCTAGCTGGACTCTATGAGCTCAAAAGTGAACACAAACCTCCATATAAGCTCTCACAAGTGCTAAAGAGAGGGAAAGGTCCACCCCTCTGAACCTGCTGGTGGAGTGCTTGCCAAAACTGCCTAGGTTGCAGGCAGCCACCTTCTTTTCTGCCAAGCTCCCTAGAGTCTCCTCTTTTGTTTACTGTCCAGCTGATTTTTTCTGCAACGTGCCACTCAGCAGCTTTCTAGATAAGTGGATGGCCAGATAATTGCATGTATGTTTATATATATTTTGTGTTTGTGTACAGTTGTACAGAAGGGTAAAGCTAAATTCTTTTATTCTGGGAAATTGTGTTTCATTAAATCTGATCTGGTGTTCTTCAAGCAGAAGTTTCACAGATTCTAAATGATGTCAACAACTTGAACCTTACTTTATATGTGATTAACTTTTTCTAACTTATAATTCAGCTTCTTTATGTGTCTGTCTATTCTCCAAAGCACAATACTCTAATTTAAATATCAAGGGGTTTGGTTCTTTTCTTTTTCCTCTTTAGGTAAATGAAGAAATTAACCTATGTAAAAGACATTCCAAAGGAAATAATCATACAAAACTTCCAGACTGAAAATATATGCATTTACCTTGAAGAAAGTTTTCTGCTATGGATGTTCATCAAACTGAAATCAATGTTTTCTTCTCTGCAAATTCTTTCTTTAGTGTGTGCACATCTACACATATACCAACAAACAGGCAAACACAACCCTATAAGCAAGAATCATCTATTCATAAAGCAACTCTTATAATTCAGTAAATATGCAAGTATGCTTATGTTAAATAAATGTGTCTATATGATACATATATTACATGTAAATTTTCTCTTTTTTTCACAAAAAAATCTCCTGCAATATTCAAGAAAATACTCATTCCTCACAGGGAGTCAATGAAATTTTATCCACTTTTCTAAGTACATCAGAAATTCAGAGAGATAGGTTATGTATTTTTTAAAATTTGTTTCATCCCTGTTTAGTAGCCTTTGTACTCAATTTCCTTTGTTGATTGAATACTGTCTTATTAATCCATTATGTCAGAAGCATAATTCCTTCCTGGTTCCTGAACAAATTATTCACAAAGAGAATTAATTAAAATGTTTCTGGGGGAACAGTTTGCTTTATAAGCAACCTAGATACCTAATGTATTAGACCTAATTAATAAGGTTATCTAAAGCACAAAAACTTTAGGCTACATTGTTAGATATGCTTTTGTTTCTTCAGAGGTACTTAGTAACAGAGGTACTGGTGTCCTTTAACCTGAATGACTGTATTCACCATGCAAACACTTCCAAGAGACAAAATAATCTCTTCCATAGTCTAATACCTTCTCCCCACTTCACACATAAATTAAGGAAAGAAAATCAAAGTAGAGGGGCTGGGAAGGCAATTCCTGATACTGGTCTAATTTCCAGTGATGTCTCTTGCTACAAATGTAGCAAGAGCAATTACCCTGTTCCTTTTCACTTCATCTCTCTCTCACAGCTGCCAAGAGTATGTCTGCTGGGTCCAGGTTTTGTTTGAGGTAATTCTAAGGCTACAAGGTGTAAAAAAGAGATGGATAAAGTGGCATGATGATTTATGGTTAGTGCTTACATAAAAAATCTGATCAAGAAAGCAAGACTATTTTAATAAGATCCATTTTCCTGACACCATGAGGAATTAATTGATTTTACTGCAAAGATTTTAAGTTCTGCTTTCAAGAGCATTCTAAGATACCTGTACATATCTATCACTTCAAATGGAATTGATTTATCTTATCTTTTTGACTTACCATTTCCAAAATGGAGACTTTCTCCCAAATTTTAAGATAAAAATATTCTACCCAGTGGTGCTTCCTATAATTTTTTCTTTAATACATAACTCTGCTTGGTGGTGTAACCTTTGGGAAGTTCTGGAATTTAGATTAACTTCAAACATAAATAATGTCAGAAGGTTGGAATCTTATCCTATAATGCAGCTCTAAGATAGATTCTAGCTGCATCATGATAAGACTGAAACAGGATTTTTAACTTTTCTGTTTGGTATATAAATCAATAACCATATTTCAATACAATATAATAAAAATGTTTTCACTGGAATATTCTGGTTTGATAGATCCTACTTTAGAAATATATTTTATTCTAAGAATATGCAATATTTCACTTGAAGGAAATAAATTATTCAGTCATGCCCTATTCATCTGGGATTAAATCAATTCAATCTTAAGAAGAAAAAGGAATTTAGTTTATCAACATTTCATGAACAAAAGGAAAAAACAATGATCTGTCAGAAAGTTTTTAAAAAGCTTTTGTAAAATTCAATTTTTGGAAACATGACTATACTCTTTTTCTACCATGCTCCCCAAATGTTACTGTACCAAGCTACCAACTACTTTGTAATATGCAAGTTTCTGGATTTTACTTAACAACCTGTAGAGGAGAGGACCATTGTTTGCCTTTATGCTACATACCAATTACAGAAATAAATTGTATTTAAATTCTTTATGAAAAATGTATTTCTTTGTTCTGAGTAATAAATGTTGACTTTGGTTAGTGTATGTAAAAACATGAAAAATATACTATGATCTCCCTTTGTGCACATGCATAATGTCAAAAAAAAGAATTCAGCAACAATTCTGGCTTTTTGTGTGTAACATTTTTTGGTCCCTCCCAAAATAATGAGAACAATCATAGTGTGATGATGGAGTAGTCTACAGCTGGGATTCCATCATCTTTTGTAGAACTTATGTTTCATAGAACATGGACTGTGGGAATAATTCTGATTCCTCTGAATCTTTCCAAAATTGACAGTTTTCTGTGTTTGGTTTGGTTTTGGTTTTGATTTTGGTTTTTCCCAAACCAAGAATGACTGAGCTGTGTATTCAATCTGCGCTAAAGGAATCTGCCCTTCTCCATTTTTCCCAGCTGCATAGCTCTGCAAACACGAGTCCTACCCATTTGTGTGCCATCATAACAATACTTTATACTCCCCAAAAACA